TGGCTTCGTCTAAGGAATTTTCCTCTTAGGTGACGACTCTCTGGTTTTCACTAGTAATTTCAAATATTTTATTTCAAAGGAGTTAAATAATTTTGTAATATATTGTGCAAAAAAATGTGTAAAACTGACGGCAATTAATTGATTGATTAACTATCCTATAATTACAAACCAAATCCGAACGCGTCAACTTATGTTTGTATCAGAGATGCGACACTTTTTATGTTTTTCTTGGATACGGCACCGAGTTCCTCTCATTGTCGAGAAATAACGCCGTTTTACCTGTAAACTTGGTAATTCAGCGTATAAATTCACACAAGATTATGCGGATGATGGTAGTGATGCGCAGTCTTCCGTGAAGTCACTGAGTTTAGGAATTTTGCAGAGACATATACTTTTCTCTAATTCAAACGAGACTAGTTCATAATTATGGGTTATAGATACACCTACAAAGGCCTATAGATATGCATACAATCATCAAACTTATTTTTTTCTAAAAACGGGTAATAAATGTCATTACCTTTTAATTGTTTTCGGAAATTTTCAATTATAATCAAAGTGTCAAAATCCTTCTGTGACGTCAGTCTCGTGACGTCACTGCAAGCAGACGACGCTATAGAGACATGAATAATGAATAAATTAAAAGCTTGGAAGGCATAGATGGTTTGAAATAGAACTTGAGAAAACAGACTTTAATCATATTGTTGTATTAGACGTAGTGAACTGCTATATAAAGGTTTCATGAGGATTGAAAAATATAATATTTGAAAGAGCGATCACGCAATGCAGATGATAGTAATCTTGACTTATAAAGGATGCATCTAAATGTCGCGTTCTCCATGAAAAAGAAAAACTGCATCGAACGCTAAAATCCAAAGAACTAACATCCATTAGTCATTACTCGAATCGATTAATGGGCGTCGCTGATCTCTTTTAATAATTAGGTCAACGCAAAGTTTATTCGAGAATCTGTGTCGTCTGCTAGGAAAGTAATTTTCACCTGGACTGGATTCATATTCAACCATTTTTTTAAAGTTAATTATTTCTGATTGACTGAACTTATTATGTAGTTTTACATAATTGAGGGGATTTTATTTTTTTCACCAAGAAAATATTAATGACAGCTTTGTATGCAGCGATTTTAATTCATGCCTATATAGTTATTGATAAGATAATTTCCGAAGACAGTTATCTTTAGAATATGCTTGCTATAATTAATATGAAGTATCGGCAACGGAGCCGATCTCAAAACGATATAGAGAGAAAAGTATTTAGAAAAATAAATAAATAGAATGGGATCCCGGTCCCCCTGAATATATGTTGTTTACATGTGAAGATGGCTGCCTCCATATCCCGTGTTGTCGGTATGTCATGTTTATTAATCCGTCTGTTATCCTGCTAGTTTAGTGGATGTATATTAGAAAGCTTGTTTGAGATATATATGTATCTTTTTCTGTTATTTTTTCAAGTTCTTTCTTGTTTTTCTTCCCTAGAATCGTGGGTTTTTTAACTTTTCTTGGGGGGTTTCTAGGTTTAGCAGTAAATTATTCAAAGTAAAGGACGAGATTTTCACGTTACAAGTTTGAGGAAGTCTAATTTGGTTATATACTCGTGTTTTTACATAAATTTTTGGTAAGGGTCCAATTTCATATAGCCCTCTTTTATACGGAAAATAACATGTGCAAACGATAGAGCAAATAAATCAAAGAAACTTAACTTCTATGTAATTCCGTCGCAGATAAAAAAAAAATAACGAAGCTATAAGCCACGTAAGTATCAGAGAGACCGAAATGAAAAATTACCAAATTCTTAATAACAGTTATTGATAATGGTATAGATGAATTGGTTTTCATTTTGCTTTTCTCTTTTACGTAAATTGTATGAGTCGGTCACGGAGGGTACTTGTGTTTCTAAATAAAGTGCATTACTGTATTATAATACTATTACACACATTTACTGTTTTGTTATATGGGACAGTTAAGTGAGACTAGAAAAAAAACATACCTATATAAATTGCTGGTAGGAGGAGTGGACTTAACAATTTCTACTTAGTGAAACTTTCTTGACTTTTTGCTGGAGGTAAAAAAAACACATTGTGATCATTTAATGCCACTTTTTTTTGTTACCACCAATATTGCTGTAAAAATAACTTTGTAATTCTTTAAAATAGAGACACAGTACAACCTCACAGTTTTTTGTTGTTTTTTTTTCAATAATATGAGTTGCCATAACTGGACACTGCCTGAGGGGAGGGTTGTTAAGGGGCTCTGCTCTCCAACAGCTTCTTCATAAACTTCATCTTCACTTTACCCTAGCTTAGTGTCCTTTATGCCTTAGATATTAACTATTTTTCTTACACTGTTGATGTTCTTATGATTTATGTTATTTCAGGTGTACATATGTTTTGAGTCTAGAACCATTTTGCAGGAAAAATTGTTGTGTATGATTCCAGTCTTCTTTAGGGAGTAAATAAATTTCCATGTAATTTCAGGGTTGGCAGCTCTTGAGTCCAGCCTCTTTCGCCTAAGCCTGGGAACGATACAAAGGCCATTATTATGTACTTCAGCATCAAATCTCCTTTCACCATCTGACACTACAACTCCATTAAGTTTAGTTCAGGTTAGTGTTGCACTCTGAGCATTTAGCCTTTTTCAAATCTGTACCATTATAACAATCTTGTTTATGTGGGTTAAACATGTACTCTTAAATGTATACAAGAAGTTTACTCTACTGTCAAAAACAGTAGACAGCTTTACAGTGGCTAGACATGAAACTAGCATATGCATGATATTAAGGTCAATTTTGCCCAGTCCTAAATTTTGATTATATATTACTGTAGTCAAAGTCTTGGTGGACATCTAGCAATGCTCCTTAAATGGAAATGTGAGGGGATGAGCTACTCATTCTCTGAGGAAGGTTATTGAGTGTAGAGGTGAGAAAGTGTTTAAGATCATATCTCTCATTCCAGAAAAGTGGCCTTCACACATCAACCGGAAACCAGAGCTGGGAGAGACCTCGTGGGCCCAGGAAATGGCTCCTCAACAATCAAACAAAATTTGCACCAACTCCTTTTGGAGAACAGGAGAGACCAGCAGTAAGTTAATCTCATTTCCATAGGCTTATTTGATTCTTCTCTGTATTTTCAACAATTTAATTCTGAGTATACCATATTGTTGTGTTTTGAGTGAGCACATTTTAACTCTCAGAAATAAGAGTTTAAAGATTTGAAGGAATGTTTTGTTTAATAACAGTCAATATACTACATATATTACTCATTCTAAGATTTTTTTCTTTCTTTCTTTTCTTTCTTCTTCTTCTTCTTCTTCTCTCTCTCTCTTTTTTTTGTCATCAATGTCTGTATATTCATGGGAGTTCAAAAATGTGTTAATATTTAAACTAATATTGGTAATTAATATTCATCTTTTTTTCTGGACAAAGCTTCACTTTTTTGTATTCTCAGTAACTATTTATGAGTATGATCCATTTAAAAAATGCAAACACATAAAAAGTAGGTATAAATAGACACCCAGTGAGTAGAAGTCAACAAACCTCCATCCTTTCCAGTATGTGTCTCATGTAAAAGAAAACATAAAATACAGCCCCGATAAGATGTGGTACGTGGCTTGCTTAGTTCGAGGAATGAAGATTGATGATGCAATCCATCAGCTGCAATTTGTACACAAGAAAGGAGCAGTTGCAGTGCGGGAGGCTCTCGAAGAGGCCCAGGAAATGGCTGTCAAGAACCATAATGTTGAATTTAAGAGTAATTTGTGGGTCTGTAAGTATATGTGTATTCATTTTTGTTTCATCTCTTCACCTCTCTTCTTGTTTTTTGGCTTTTCTTTTCTTTTCTCTTCTTTTTCTTTCTTTTTTCTTTAGGATGTAGAGTATAAGAGTCTTTGTATTGTTACCTTAAATGAAACTGAAGACCTCATATTTGCCTTTATTTTAATGCGAAGTCTAAATCTTCACTAGAATTAATGGATGTCATACTTACATTAACCTAAGTAAATGAATCAGTATGGTCAAGAGAAATCCCAGGAGAAATTGAAAATAAGATCAATATGGTATCTCATGTGCAATGAAATTCATCTGTATTAAACATTACTCTCTGACAAAACATAATATTCTGATGCATTTCTTCTCTTACAGCGGAATCCTTTGTGGGCAAGGGACTGGTTATTAAGGGCTTCAGGCGACATGCTCGACGTAGGTTTGGTCAAGTGAAGTACAAGCACTGTCACTACTTTGTGACACTAGAGGAGGGAGAGCCACCGGAACATTACTATCCCCATAGTAGGAAACTGACACCACAGGAGATGCTGGAAGAATGGCTGGAGAGCAAACGAAAACGCACCGTTCCAATGTCCTTGTAGTCTGTCACAGGACAAGTTGGAACAGAGAACATGTCTTTCTTTTTTACCTCCAGAGAATCTTCAGATCCATAGCATCCATAGAATCTTCAGATCCATAGCATCCATAGAATCTTCAGATCAGATTCAAGAACAGAGATGGAATTGAACTAAGCTTGAAATGTAATTTTCAAATCGGTTTAGGAGCGTAAACTTGTAAGCCCGTGTTCCTTGGAATAATTTGTTGCCATCAGATTATGTCTTGGCGAGGTTTTGTAAATATCAGTTATTAAATTTTTTATTAGATTTTATATATTTAATACCTTTGTTGTCAGTATTGAATAGAATTCATTGAAGGAAAAGCTATGAAAATCTTAAGAATCTAGTTAAAGAAAATATTAAGGGATGTCTAAACATTCCTACACATTTCATATCACCCAGTAAACCAGAAGTATAAGGATTATGATAATATCTTTATAGTAGGTTCAACTGATGAATCACTGCACTCCATCTGTTCTTTGGGGGAGGCAGAGTCTATGGCAGTAACAAAAGACCATCTTTTCAAACCAGGCTGACCTTTCAAGTAAAAGCCAGTTGAAGCTGTCATTAAACAGTCACTTATGTCTTTTCTTGTGGAAGCTGCATGACTAA